CACTAGCCCTCCACCACAGGCTCACGAGTTTGAGACCAACATGGGGCAGTTGCCAGGTACTGGCTGCTGGTTGGTGGTTTTTCTCTGGGTTCTCCAGCTTTTCTCCACAACCATAACCTGACATGTCCTTAAAAGACCATACCTGTTGACATAATAGGACGTAAAACACAAACAAACCAAACCAAACCAAATTTTGATATACACCTATAAACTTTGTAATAAAGCTGAAGTTTGAAAGGTATATTATTAAGATGAAATGAATTGTATATAAACTTTCGGTATATTTGTACCAGATATACTGTATACCCTATACACATTATGTACAGTGTGTCATAACATTTCTTATGCACATTAGTTTGGGAGCAGAAACATGTAAAATTGCATGCTCTGTTGGTCTGATTTCCTGGTCGTCTTTATGGTATTGTCATACCTGACTTCCATTAAAGTTTGAGAATTGATTATGGATGTAAGTGTAAAAGATGTACAGTGTGATGGTCGGCAGTAGAATGGTGGTGCCTTCTGCCTGCCATTGTGTTGTGTGTATGTTAATGGGAGAAATACATTACTGAGGGCTTTGTTTATGGACAGGGGCCGGGATAATCAATGTTCTATTGACTAGGGGCGTCACACTGGAAGTACTGGTAGGCCATTATTTATAAGCTGGTCACATTGACTTATCCTGTAATCAAGATTTTGTGGATGTCAGCTTATTTTAGTCAATACACAGGACTAATACATTATACTGAGCTTATATAAATATTCTATTACTGTCAAGCTTGGACATTTTTGCTTCAGTTTAAGTTCAGCTTACCAGTAGGCTTTTCAATAATGAAACTAATTGGTTATTGCTATAAAAAGCATGTATATTCAAAAGAGATACCATATACCAATGAATATTAAAAAAAGGTTTAGAATAAAAATAAAAGCCAAGGAATCATTGATTATTTGGTGTTAAAATTCCATAAAAAACATTTGTTAAACAATTTAAGAACTAGGTTTATCACCCTGCCCTAGTTTCACAAATAATCCATAACTAATTTTACCATCTAAAAGCAATGCTAGAATTACAGAAAAATTCTGATGTTGAGGACATTTTCCTGAATTATCTCAATACTTTCCTAAAAATATCAGAAGTTCAGAAATTGACCTAAGGAATGTTTGTGAAAGTGACTCCAGTACAAAAATTCCATAGAAGTAATGATCTTTATTTACATGTGTTTATCAAATGCTTATGGTGTTGTGCAGTATACTACATTAGCAAGTCTGTAAACTCTTAGTGTACATCTATAACATGTCTGTAGACTGACAGTGTACCACTATAACAAGTCTGTAGACTGAGAGTGTACCATTATAACATGTCTGTAAACTCTTAGTGTACCACTATAACAAGTCTGTAAACTCTTAGTGTACCACTATAACATGTCTGTAGACTGGGTGTACCACTATAATAAGTCTACAAGACTCCCAGTGTACCACTATAACAAGTCTAGACTGGGTGTACCACTATAACATGTCTGTAAACTCTTAGTGTACCACTATAACATGTCTGTAAACTCTTAGTGTACCACTATAACAAGTCTGTAAACTCTTAGTGTACCACTATAACATGTCTGTAAACTCTTAGTGTACCACTATAACAAGTCTGTAAACTCTTAGTGTACCACTATAACATGTCTGTAGACTGGGTGTACCACTATAACAAGATTGTAGACTGGGTGTACCACTATAACATGTCTGTAGACTGACAGTGTACCACTATAACAAGTCTGTAGACTGAGAGTGTACCACTGTAACAAGTCTGTAGACTGAGAGTGTACCACTATGACATGTCTGTAGACTGACAGTGTACCACTATGACAAGTCTAGACTGACAGTGTACCACTATGATAAGTCTGTACACTGTCAGTGTACCACTATAACAAGTCTGTAGACTGGGTGTACCACTATAACATGTCTGTAGACTGACAGTGTACCACTATAACAAGTCTGTAGACTGAGCGTGTACCACTGTAACAAGTCTGTAGACTGAGAGTGTACCACCGTAACAAGTCTGTAGACTGACAGTATACCACTATGACAAGTCTAGACTGACAGTGTACCACTATGATAAGTCTGTACACTGACAGTGTACCACTATAACAAGTCTGTAGACTGAAAGTGTACCACTGTAACAAATCTGTAGACTGAGAGTGTACCACTATGACATGTCTGTAGACTGACAGTATACCACTATGACAAGTCTAGACTGACAGTGTACCACTATGATAAGTCTGTACACTGACAGTGTACCACTATAACAAGTCTGTAGACTGAGAGTGTACCACTAAACTAAGAGTGTACCACTATAACAAATCTGTAGGCTGAGAGTGTACCACTAGACTGAGAGTGTACCACTATAACAAATCTGTAGACTGAGAGTGTACCACTAGACTGAGAGTGTACCACTAGACTGAGAGTGTATCACTAGACTGAGACTGTACCACTATAACAAATCTGTAGGCTCACAGTGTACCACTTTAACATGTCTGTAGACTGAGATATTTATATAATTCATCCCTGATGTGAGGTATGGGTAAGGTAAGTCTCAGGTTTCCTGCTCAATATTTAATCCTGACGGCTTGAATTACCTTATCCATACCTCACATCAAGAATGGATTCTATTTCTTGCTTATTACCTAAAACCCGTGGAAATAGCTGCTCTTCTAGTAAACTTGTAAACTGTCCGCACATTTCTCATTTGCATATGAAGCCTGGATGGCAATTGTTAATGACGTCAATGACCCAGACTGACCCCAAAACGTCATAAAATGACGTCACAAACAATATTGTGACCCCGCCAGTCTGTGCGTGTAAAGGATAGAATTGTCCAGCACCACCGGAAATGCAGATATCTCAGTCTAGTATGCAAGAACTATTAGGAAATATGTTGTGTAGACAAAATGTCTATGCTTCCGTCTCTGTTACTGTTCCTTATACATAAAACAGTAGTTACTGGTGTTACCAATACTGAGTTCAACAGCCTTAGCTCAGGTGTGATAATACCATTCATAGGACTTCCTGCTGTGTGCCCAAGAGTGGGTTCATTTTTATTATTTTAATAAATAATGAATTTGTGTATTGCTGTAGACAGGATATGTATTTAAATGTCTGCATGAATCAATAACACGAAGTGCTATCCTTTCATCATAGTCTCAACAAGTTTTTGTACCACGCATAAACTTGAGGGGTAATATGTAGACCTGTACGTAGGTAGGTGGGTGGAGGACTATCACAATCTTTCCCCGATGATATTACTTCACTGCAACATGTATCAAATTCAAATTCCATTTGTAAACGTTCTGGTCGATAAAGATGATGACAATTGTTAACAGGTCACAGGTATCTACAACCTAAAGATATAGTTTAACAGTCATCAGATACCATCATCAGATTGAGGACACCTGAATAATTACTGTTTTGAGGTGTGCTTTCAATGAAATGGTATTACAAAGGTTTTGTCAATTGTTAATTTGCATTTGGGTATAAAGGAAAATTTTGTAGAAGTATGCGGAAAAACTTTACATTAATTGGTATGAACAATTTTCTTTTTGAAAAAAATATATTATTCCATGTACTAGTAGAACACCATTGAAATTGTGTTCTGCAAAGGAAGGGAAATAATAGTATTTAGAAACTGAACAAATTTTAGAAGAAATATAAACTTTCTGGAGGTATGGGACATTTTTTCACTGAGGGGGCTGAATGACATGCTTCAGGTGTTTAAGATATCTATGAATATTTATTTTTTTTAAATGTTGATTGATGTGTAGAATCGGAATTAAGTACTTTCTGACCATGAAGGATTGATTCCATGTTTAAATAACCCAAGTGTATTGTGAATCAGGAGATTTATTGTGTTTGTTCGTTTCTCTGGTATTGTATAGCTATCTGATTGACGTCAGCAAGTTCAGGCCTTCGACTGCTGTTCAACATTTATTTTCTTAAGTTGTAGCCTTTTCGCTTCATATTCAACAGGGTAGTATAGATTATTTTATTACCTCAAATAGCTTACCTTGTGCTAAGTTGATCAACTATACACTACATTCCAACTTTGATTTATAATCTCTCCTGTACTGTAAAAACCATTAGAGCTCTTTGCACTGTAAAAATTACCATAGTCCATTCAACAGAATCCCACAATTACACACTAACTGTACTTCACAAAGCTCTTTGGACTATCAGTAATTATCGGTCTATTGAATATGGTAGGGACTTCATAGTCGATGTCCAAAGAGGGTATGATTATAAACTCGAGAGCAGGGAGAGCCTGTGACATTACATGACATTGAGGACATAACATTCACAGGTGTTTGTCCTGATTGTATTTGGTGTAGAGGGACAGTTTTGAAATCAGTTGAATAGGTCCATGGGTGACCGTGATCAATTTCATTTGATTGAAAACTTAAACCTTCAAACCCTATTTCACATCCCTGATGTTACAATGATACAACAATCACCCAATATCATGTAATCAGGACCATTACGAACCCACTATGTGGAAATAAGGACGTCTTTTGCTTTATTAGCCGAATCTGGTGATTGGAATGACGGAAAAATATTTGTTCATGCCCAGGGTTGTTGGCTAGGGAAATTCCACCATATGGATTTTCAAATTTGTGCAAAACCCTTGGCAAGCCTCAGGTTTCACCAAACCCTTGGCAAGCCCCAGATTTCACCAAACCCTTGGCAAGCCTCAGGTTTCACCAAACCCTTGGCAAGCTCCATGTTTCAACAAACCCTTGGCAAGCCTCAGGTTTCACCAAACCCTTGGCAAGCCTCAGGTTTCACCAAATTCAAAAACCCGTTTGGTTGAATTTCCCAATCCTATACCACTAAACATGAAAGAGTCTTACAGTTACAACGGAATATTATCATCAGCTTGTTTCCTAGTAAATATCTGTCCGTACTAAATGGTTTCATCAGGTTGTCTCTTAGTAAATAGTTTTCTTTGTGTTTTTCAGGTTGTGTTGCTGTTGTTATGACGGTGATCTGTTATCCCAGACAAGATTTGGCCAGGACCTTAGTCTAGACAGACAACAGAACCACCCTATAGAGGTGAACCTATTGTTGAAGATCTGCCAACTTGATGGAAACTGTGCCATGTTTGTGTTAGAAATGTGGTTATCTGCCCTTGGTCACCAGATCCTTCCTGTGTGTTTGTATGGACTATTACTATAGTGATACAGTAGAGGGAGGAAACGGAACCCAAGTTTGTGTCCCATGCAGAAATCCACACAGGAGTCAGAAGAGGTGTTATTTACAGTGTTTGTGAACTTAAGTATAACACTTCTACCAACAGGTGGCATGGTATTGGTTACTGACATGTAAATCATTCATTGTAGGTCCAGAACTGATCAATATCAAACACAAACAACTAGAAAATCACTGTTTGATTAGGTCTGGTGAGCGAAAAGGAATTGCTGCGTGGTTGAATGTGAGGGTCGTGATAGTGTGAGTGGGATGGTACCCAGCTACAGCTGAAATATCAGCCATACTACATGGGGTACTGTCTGTTTGGAATATATGGAATGCTCACAAGCTCTGATCATTACAAATTATTTGTGTCTCATCAAAGAAGTTTTCCATGCTATGATCGCTACTAACATTACGGAATGCACCAAGACTTTAATCAGTCCAATTGATTTGTATATCATCAGATCATCACTACTGTTTGGAGAGTATGGAATGTATGGTCTGATATTTTATACAGACATAATGAAATGGTAGCGGCGAGAAGTGTGTAAGTTCCGTGTTAAACAGTACAGAGTGTATGGGTGTGTGACATTGTTACAACAGTACTTATTGGCAAGGAAGATAATATTGACTGGTGACTAGGATTGCTAAGTCCCGTCTTAATACTTTTGGCTATATGTCAAATTAAAATAATGAACTTGTATAGCAGTGTTTTCTTGGTTTCTGTTTTGTATAATTACCCCAGTTGACCGAGATATTACTGTATTAATATTGACCCGATTACTACTGAATAAACGTGATCACCTGGGCCACGTCATTCAGGGCCTGAACAGCTTTACAACAAACAAAAAAATTCATAGAGCATATTTTAAATAAAAGGTCATCATAACTACTTATTATTCATGCAGTAATGACCTGAAAACAGCAGGTAGTAAGTTATTCATAGAAATTAGTAATTTTAGAGAAGATAAAAGAATAATTTTGAACATTTTTGTCAAAGATATAAGCTAACGGTGCCATTTGAACAACCTTGCCACTCGTGTCTCGTGTGTGTATACATTTATCCACTTACTAAACTGTCACTTACCATTAACACAAAATTAAAAAACCAACATTAGCTATCGTTTAACCTTCCATTTGGTATATAGAAGTTCAGTCAAGCAGTGCAGGTGATTGTAAGAGCTGAAATTGAATACCTTTTGCAATTACCTTACATAAGGGCTTTTATTTCTTACTTAATATTTATGTGATCTCTCAATAACTTGAATAAGACCTTTTTCTCTTTCATAGATCTTAAGTTAAAAGAAACTGGAATAAACCTAGCACCAGGAGATGAGACCAATAAAACAAGTATCAGACTACTGGTATGTTTGTAATTAGAAACAATAATAATAATAATTTGAGGTTCTTATATACCGCTTTATCACAACCTTGTTCGTAGGTCGTCTTTAATCAGTTCACAAATTATTATCTGTGGTTATAAGACCTTGCAACCAGCCAATATCTTTCTCAACTCCCTGGGGAGTGTACAGCCGGTGATGCCATTTCGGCGCTTACAGCTAGCATTCGACAATTCTAGCACTGCCCAATCACATAAGCATTTACAGCTGAATAGACTGGAACAAGCGGAGTAAAGTATCTTGCTCAAAGATACAACACAGTGCCGTGCCATGCCGTGACTTTAATCCGCAACCCTTCAGTCACAAGCCCGGCATCCTACCACTAGACTACCGTGCCTCCTTTAACATAGAAATATGTACCGTAGGATTTGTGTTACAGGGTGAAGATCTGGTTAACATAGGTTTCCAGATACCAGGATTTATGTAAAAGACATTCTGTACCCTATCATTTGAAGCTGACTTTTGGATATTGAACATGAAAGATTCAGTAAATAATTGTTATCATCCGATATCTAGGATATTTTTTCAAGGGGAGAAAAAGATTCACAAGTGCTTAAATTCTATTCACGGTACGTTAGGTTATTATGAAGGACTGTAATGTTCACTTATTGCTGATCAAATTATTTAAGTCTGTTAAATTACCGGTAATCGTTTTACTGTTTAATTACCAGTTACAGTCAATACATAGTAGAGTTGATAGAAGGCACAGATCAGCAATGTCAGGGTTGGTTTTAAATTTTAAATGGACAGGTTTTGACAGACCAGTGAAATTGTAATTGCATCATTACAAGGCTTTTATGATCCACTGAGGAGTTGGTCATGTTATTTTGGAAGCCAATTTATTGATTCTTGTAACTGTTTTATGTGTACCCTTGTACATTATATTTTGGTAATATGAGTGTCACAGTCATAATACCAAAATATAATGTATATATACACTGTCTTTATTTGTATACCAGTATATCGATTGGAAAAAATATTTTGCTGTGTCACATTAGCTCAAAGATGTAGACATTTTAATGTAAGAAAATATTTAAGGACATTGCTTATTTTTATATCCCTAATGCATTAAGTCTATAAATATTTTGAGTCTGATGGATCTTTCTGATTCACACGGAAAAATATATCACTTGGTCAAATATTATCGTATGTAAAATAGTAATCTACCTGTGGCTACAATACATTGGCAGCTGCTTCAACGTCCACTAATAGAAATTCCAGAAAGACTTTTCAAGTTTAAACCTTTGTTGGTGTAAATGACCATTAAAATCCACTCAGTGCAAAAGTATTGAACCCATCAGGGGAACATGCCATTCACAAGTGGTCAGCAAATATTGGATATTTGAATAAGCAGACATTTTTAAAGATTAATGTACAGGTAAAGCTATATAAGTAAACCAGTCCTGATCGGTAACCTCATAGGGTACCTATATACATACGATATATGTGTACACATTGGGTCACACACACCAAGGTCATTCCTACAGGTATGTAGATGGGCTATATATGGCCTCCCCCACCAGTGGCCCACCTATATTGCTGACTGGACTGGGTCAGCACCATACATCAGCACCCACAAATGTTTACATAGCATTGATAGTCTTGGCTTAGTGGAGCAGTCAATTTATGTACAAATTTTGAATGAGAACAACTGATTTTCAAGTAAATTTGCATTAAACTTCATTGATGACCTGCCTTTTTCATTTGAGTAACAAATTTGAAAAGAAAAATTATATTGATGCTACTGTTCATTCTGACAGTGTACTGTAAACTCAAATATGATTTTAAAAGACGATTCTTTATAAATCACCACTAGAGATTAATAAGATCTACATCACTTCTGACTGAAAAGCCCATAAATAATCTTTAGTTGTGACAAACACTGTACAGATCTTGGACAGACAGTATAGTGTAGGTACTAGTTGTTAGTGCTTTATGCTGTATGTTTGTCTTGGCCTGTGGCAATTGGCTTCTTAAAATATACCATTATACTGGATCAATATATGATGAACACACATCTAAAGGATCCATCATCATTAGCTATCAAGGATGGGAGTCTTTATTGTGGACAGGTAAATGTGCCTGGCAGCAGCTTTTCTATCATCAAGGTCAAGTGACTGCACATAAGGTGGGATGAAAATATCAGATGTCAGACAAGGCACATAGGATATTGTTGTCTGTCGGGTATCAAAGCATGATACAGGAAATTAAAAATATAATTTAAAAGATAAAAAAAAAAATCTTTATATATTTTTAAAGTGGTCGATATACAGCATATGTTGAGAACCACCAACAGCTAAAAACAGAAAGTCAATATCTAAACATGAAGTCAATATCTTAAACATGAGGTTAATATCTAATATCTAAACATGAGGTCAATATCTAAACATGAGGTCAATATCCAAACATGAGGTCAATATCTAAACATGAAGTGAATATCTAAACATTAGGACAATATCTAAACATGAGGTTAATATCTCAACTTAAGGTTAATATCTAAACATGAGGTTAATATCTAATATCTAAACATGAGGTCAATATCGAAACATGAGGTTAATATCTCAACTTGAGGTTATTATCTAAACATGAGGTTAATATCTAAACATGAAGTCAATATCTAAACATGAGGTCAATATCGAAACATGAGGTCAATATCTAAACATGAGGGTAATATCTCAACATGAGGCCAATATATCAACATGAGGTCAATATCTAAACATGAAGTGAATATCTAAACATTAGGACAATATCTAAACATGAGGTTAATATCTAAAGATGAGGTCAATATCTCAGAGGTCAACATCTCAACATGAGGTTAATATCTAAACATCAGGTTAATATCTCAACATGAGGTCAATATCTCAGAGGTCAATATCTCAACATGAGGTTAATATCTGAACATCAGGTTAATATCTCAACATGAGGTCAATATATCAACATGAGGTCAATATCTAAACATGAAGTGAATATCTAAACATTAGGACAATATCTAAACATGAGGTTAATATCTAAAAATGAGGTCAATATCTAAACATGAGGTGAATATCTAAACATGAGGTCAATATCGAAACATGAGGTTAATATCTCAACTTGAGGTTATTATCTAAACATGAGGTTAATATCTAATATCTAAACATGAGGTCAATATCTTAAACATGAGGTTAATATCTAATATCTAAACATGAGGTCAATATCGAAACATGAGGTCAATATCTAAACATGAGGTTAATATCTCGTCAATATCTCAAAACAGGAAGTCCATATTTGATAAACAACCCATCAAAACATAAGGTCAGTATATTCAAACAACCCTCCAAAACAGGTAGTCAATGTCTGGTGCATATCCAACCATCAAAACAACTTCAGTATCAAGAATATTACCAAATAAACTCCTAACAGGAAGTCGGTATCTATACATTTTAATATTGATAGGCTAAGATAGCCACAGAAAACCAAGATGGAGCTAGCTGCTGCTTGTATGTATGTCCTGTTGATTCCACAAAGTTACTGTGAATATCTTAGCCAGAACAAAATAAAGACACATCCTAAGTCTATAAAGCAACAGATGTAAGCAGTGAGGTGATGAGGAACATTTTCATGTACATAGACAATGTTGATGAGGAGAATTACACACTTGGTTAACACAGGAGAAATTAATTGCAGCATACACACCTGTACATCTGTTGTCATGCTGGTATGTCTTATGTATTTCATGTGTTATTACAATATGTCAAGTTGTTTATGTCATGTGATGGAAAGGTCATTTTGTTTTTTGCAGTTTGATCATTTCTAAAATGACAAATTAGATACCAGCTTATTGTGACATCACTAATTCATGGCCACAGCAAAAACAAAGGTATTGTTTATTTTATTTTTTCAGTTTGATGCTACAAAGTTCAGTGCAGTTCATGTTATTGAAATAAAAGGTCATTTACATATCATCTAAATTCCATAAAACTTGCTAAAACTTGTTTCCAAATGATCTTGTCCAATATGCTCTTCTTTAAGATCCTCTAATACATTGATGTATATTTTCTATTCGCAATGTGATAACATTATTAAATTATGAAACATATTCATCACATCAAAAATCCACAACTTATAACCGTTAATAAAATGTATTTAAGGAAAATTGTCATATGATTGGCCATACAGTATCTGTTCTGTGTGCTTTATATACTGGGGACAATGTTTGACAGATGTTTTGTTGCAGTCCAGGGGTCCTTCACTAGTACTGTCCTGTGTATTAACAGGGGTGTAAAGCTGTAGGATGCATGATATGGATTTACAAATGTTTGTGAGCCTGTCACAAGGAAAAAAAGAAAATGTTCTTCAATCCATGAAAAGGGGATTTCAGTCTGATGTAATCAATTGTTTTGATTTCTTGATAACGTGGTTTTTAAACGGATGGCATAATCATGTCTTTCATCCCCTTACTTATCTACTAAAGGTATTCTTATTTGTATTTCTTGATGGCTGTACTGTATTTGATCTATATAATAGTGAATGGGACTGATTCCTTTATATTAGAAGATCACAGGTTAGCTCTCCTGTTACCTGTTGCTTCCACTCAAATACAAATATTAGGTATGGTTGAACCTTCTAATAACAATTAACTTTGCCGTTAGGTTATTGTGCCTGGGAATAATGTAATCCAATAAATAAAATTGAAAATATACACGTCACTAAAGGGGACACTGTTTAAAAACCATTTCAATGTCCAGCCTGTTACGGTGAGAAATAATTTCACCAAACGTCGGGTTTGAATGACTTCCATGTTAAAGGTACCACATGGCTACCTGTGTAGTCACCTGTGACTGGGGAGTGTACTTTGACATTAACCAGTCAGCCATGTCAGTGTTAAATATTCCATTAGTTTGTAATGTCCTCGTAGGTGTGTGTTCAATAACAAACTACCGCTACGTGACAAATTAAAAGAGGGGAAATGAAAATGGTCCGTGAACAGTAGTATCAAGATTGAGTTGTTGACAGTGTAGGGATTCATTGTTTTTTTAACTATGTATTATATATATTTATAAATTTTCTCTCCTGTAATTATGTTCATTTTATTATGTTCTTATTAATATGTACACACAATATTATTATTTCATCGAATAACAAACAAAATATATGTCGTCTTGTTCCTAAGTCAATAAAACTTAAAATTGTTGTAAATCTTATATTAGAATATATTTTTTTTCAAATATTTAATTTATATGTATATTATCCCGTTGATGAGGTCTGCTATGATACAGCTAGGATCCATTGTAAATCAACTCTTAAATGAATATTATATATACCTGGGTGTACAAAAGGGTATTGAAGTTGTGCATTATTGTATATAATTTACACCACAGGATGTATTTGTGATATAAATTTGGAAGCATTGTACATTGGTCACACAGGCCGTAGATGATATCTCTGATAAACATAATTGAATAGGCTTCCGTCATTGAGAGGAAGAAAGATGGTACAGGTCACTAACAAAATATAATGCTCTCCATAAAGAACGGCTATACTGTATAGCAGTGTAGAGCTGAATACCAGTGGATCATTGTTTGATTTTATTGATATATTAATCAGGGATGTTTATCGGTGTTCTTCTTGAATGTAATTATAGTATTGATTGGTATAGACTACCTAAATCAATCATATAATAGGACTGGACCAGGCCTGTATAGACACCTTACTTAGTCAGACTGTAGGGTAAGACCAGGCCTGTATAGACACCTTACTTAGTCAGGCTGTAGGGCCAGACCAGGCCTGTATCGACACCTTACTTAGTCAGACTTTAGGGCCAGACCAGGCCTGTATAGAGACCTTACTTAGTCAGACTGTAGGACAAGACCAGGCCTGTATAGACGCCTTACTTAGTCAGACTGTAGAGTAAGACCAGGCCTGTATAGACACCTTCCTTAGTCAGACTGTAGGACCAGACCAGCCCTGTATAGACTCCTTACTTATTCAGACTGTATGCCCAGACCAGGCCTGTATAGACACCTTATATGTATATTATCCCGTTGATGAGGTCTGCTATGATACAGCTAGGATCCATTGTAAATCAACTCTTAAATGAATATTATATATACCTGGGTGCCAGACCAGGCCTGTATAGAGACCTTACTTAGTCAGACTGTAGGGCTGGACCAGGCCTGTAAAGACTCCTTACTTAGTCAGAAGTCAGACTGTAGTGCCAGACCAGGCTTGTATATAGACACCTTACTTAGTCAGGCTGTAGGGCCAGACCAGGCCTGTAAAGACTCCTTACTTAGTCAGACTGTAGGACAAGACCAGGCCTGTATAGACACCTTCCTTAGTCAGACTGTAGGACCAGACCAGGCTTGTATAGACACATTACTTAGTGAGACTGTAGGACCAGACCAGGCCTGTATAGCCCCCTTACTTAGTCAGACTGTAGAGAAAGACCAGGCCTGTATAGACACCTTCCTTAGTCAGACTGTAGGACCAGACCAGGCCTGTATAGCCTCCTTGCTTAGTCAGACTGTAGGACCAGCCCAGGCCTGTATAGACAACTTACTTAGTCAGCCTGTAGGGCTGGACCAGGCCTGTAAAGACACCTTACTTAGTCAGACTTTAGGGCCAGACCAGGCCTGTAAAGACTCCTTACTTAGTCAGAAGTCAGACTGTAGTGCCAGACCAGGCTTGTATAGACTCCTTACTTAGTCAGACTGTAGGGCCAGACCAGGCCCGTAAAGACTTCTTAATTAGTCCAGACCAGGCCTGTATAGACTCCTTACTTAGTCAGACTGTAGGACAAGACCAGGCCTGTATAGACTCCTTACTTAGTCAGACTGTAGGCCCAGACCAGGCCTGTATAGACTCCTTACTTAGTCAGACTGTAGGGCCGGACCAGGTCTGTATAGACACCTTACTAAGTCAGACTGCAGGGCCAGCCCAGGCTTGTATAGACACCTTACATAGTCAGACTGTAGGGCTGGACCAGGCCTGTAAAGACTCCTTACTTAGTCAGACTGTAGGACCATACCAGGCCTGTATAGACTCCTTACTTAGTCAGACTGTAGTGCCAGACCAGGCTTGTATATAGACACCTTACTTAGTCAGACTGTAGTGCCAGACCAGGCTTGTATAGACTCCTTACTAAGCAAGATTGTAGGGCTGGACCAGGCCTTTATAGACTCCTTACTTAATGAGACTGTAGGACCAGACCAGGCCTGTATAGACTCCTTACTTAGTCAGACTGTAGGCCCAGACCAGGCCTGTATAGACTCCTTACTTAGTCAGACTGTAGGACCATACCAGGCCTGTATAGACTCCTTACTTAGTCAGACTGTAGGACCAGCCCAGGCCTGTATAGACTCCTTGCTTAGTCAGACTGTAGGACCAGACCAGGCCTGTATAGGCTCCTTACTTAGTCAGACTGTAGGACCAGACCAGGCCTGTATAGGCTCCTTACTTAGTCAGACTGTAGGACCAGACCAGGCCTGTATAGAGACCATACTTAGTGAGACTGTAGGGCTGGACCAGGCCTGTATAGACACCTTACTAAGTCAGACTGCAGGGCCAGCCCAGGCTTGTATAGACACCTTACATAGTCAGACTGTAGGGCTGGACCAGGCCTGTAAAGCCCCCTTCCTTAGTCAGACTGTAGGCCCAGACCAGGCCTGTATAGACTCCTTACTTAGTCAGACTGTAGTGCCAGACCAGGCTTGTATATAGACACCTTACTTAGTCAGACTGTAGTGCCAGACCAGGCTTGTATAGACACCTTACATAGTCAGACTGTAGGGCTGGACCAGGCCTGTATAGACACCTTACTAAGTCAGACTGCAGGGCCAGCCCAGGCTTGTATAGACACCTTACATAGTCAGACTGTAGGGCTGGACCAGGCCTGTATAGACACCTTACTTAGTCAGACTCTAGGACCAGACCAGGCCTGTATAGAGACCTTACTTAGTGAGTCTGTAGGGCTGGACCAGGCCTGTATAGACACCTTACTTAGTCAGACTCTAGGACCAGACCAGGCCTGTATAGAGACCTTACTTAGTGAGACTGTAGGGCTGGACCAGGCCTGTATAGACACCTTACTAAGTCAGACTGTAGGGCCAGCCAAGGCCTGTATAGACTCCTTACTTAGTCAGACTGTAGGGCCGGACCAGGTCTGTATAGACACCTTACTAAGTCAGACTGCAGGGCCAGCCCAGGCTTGTATAGACACCTTACATAGTCAGACTGTAGGGCTGGACCAGGCCTGTATAGACACCTTACTTAGTCAGACTGTAGTGCCAGACCAGGCTTGTATATAGACACCTTACTTAGTCAGACTGTAGGGCAAGACCAGGCCTGTATAGACACCTTACTTAGTCAGACTGTAGTGCCAGACCAGGCTTGTATAGACACCTTACTTAGTGAGACTGTAGGACCAGACCAGGCATATATAGACACCTTACTTAGTCAGACTGTAGTGCCAGACCAGGCTTGTATAGACACCTTACTTAGTCAGACTGTAGGGCTGGACCAGGTCTGTATAGACACCTTACTAAGTCAGACTGCAGGGCCAGACCAGGCTTGTATAGACACCTTACATAGTCAGACTGTAGGGCTGGACCAGGCCTGTAAAGACTCCTTACTTAGTCAGACTGTAGGACCAGACCAGGCCTGTATAGACTCCTTACTTAGTCAGACTGTAGGGCCAGACCAGGCTTGTATAGACACCTTACTTAGTCAGACTGTAGGGCCGGACCAGGTCTGTATAGACACCTTACTAAGTCAGACTGTAGGGCTGGACCAGGTCTGTATAGGCACCTTACTAAGTCAGACTGCAGGGCCAGACCAGGCCTGTATAGACACCTTACTTAGTGAGACTGTAGGGCTGGACCAGGCCTGTATAGACACCTTACTTAGCAAGATTGTAGACACCTTACTTAGTCAGACTGTAGGGCCAGACCAGGCTTGTATAGACACCTTACTTAGTCAGACTGTAGGGCCAGACCAGGCTTGTATAGACACCTTACTTAGTCAGACTGTAGGGCTAGACCAGGCCTGTATAGACACCTTACTTAGTCAGACTGTAGGACCAGACCAGGCCTGTATAGACTCCTTACTTAGTCAGACTGTAGGACCAGACCAGGCCTGTATAGACACCTTACTTAGCAAGATTGTAGACACCTTACTTAGTCAGACTGTAGGGCCAGACCAGGCCTGTATAGACACCTTACTTAGTGAGACTGTAGGGCTGGACCAGGCCTGTATAGACACCTTACTTAGCAAGATTGTAGGGCTGTACGAAAATTGCATAGACTCTTACTTTTTAACTTCTCTTGTACAGAATCCATACGTCATTGGACTACAGTGTCAAATTCCTTTACTTTGGTTGTCAGCAAATAGGGTTGACCAAGCTTTTATGAGGACATCGACTCAATTTTCTGGTATTTAATTGATAACTTAGACATATATTGGTGTTTACAAAATACTTATATCCACAGTTTTATCTTTCAAGTTGAAATTGTATTACTTTACCTGTCTATAAATATTTATAGCTCATACCTTATCTCGCTGTGCAGGAAGTGGAGGGAGGTGGCGGTTTTATATACCCCCTGTTGAGGGAATTTTAATTAAGTCTACAGGTACCAGACTACAAAATTCTGCAGTTGATTAGAATAATTCAATATTTTATATTGATTGAGGTAACATAAGTTGCATGACAATTGTAAATAAATGTGCTTGTGCTTACTAGAACGACAACAGGTTGTCATACACGGGATGGGTTTAATAAGTGACACCCACCCCAGTGTTTTGATGAATTGGTAAATATGGTATGAAATATTGATGAGTAATAACATGATTAAACCTTTACAGAATCAGATAAAAAGATCCGGGATAGTATACAGATAGTCACGAAAAGAAAAAAGGTTTAGAATTTTTGTCTGAGATTGAAACTGGTTTGCTGGTGGCCTGGACTCCTGGACGACATATAAAGAAAATGTGTCGTATATACTGCAGGTGTGCTTGTGTCGTACATGTGTTTTTGTATACCTGTGACTGTTGATATCTCCATCTGGATGCCCAGCTTTAATGTAATACAGTGTACTATAAAGCCAACTGTCATCAAACTACATTACAGCAGTATATCAAATACAGGTCACTGTGACCTGAACTTTTTACACTTCACTGACTTTGATTGCACTTTGCTGCATTTAGCTCCAGCTCTCTACAACTACCTGGTATAAGTCCAACAGTCATCAATCTTCATATTTAGATACATCATAAGTACTATATCAAGATATCAAATCTAGGTCACTGTGACCTTTATTTTCCTCCACTGACTTTGTGTTAAGCTCCATTTCCATCCACGTGCAGCAGGAATATGTATATTTTAAAGATACTTTTTAGTCATCCTTAAATATGACATTGTACATATATACCTTGGACATTTACAAAAGGAATTATTTACTTGTGTTTGTAAAATGCTATATTTTCATGTGTTGACATGAAAAAAAATATGTATATAGTAATTGTCTATTCATCAGCATCACCGTTATGTCACATATGAGCTACAGCTACATAATGCATAGTGTAGGTCACCAGGTTCAAGTTCAATATTCCAGCATAGACACTCCTGGAGTTAAGGTAGAGAGTCCCAGCACTCTTTTTCACAAAAACATTTTTGCTATAGAGATTCCAACCCCCATTTCTCCATTATATAAAGCAGGGAGCTTTTCTATTTTCCTACTGGTCATTATATTTGTTATCTTAATACTTTTTAGCACATTACTGGAAATAATTTCAAAATGATTAAACTTCCTAAAAGTGTCTGCAACTATTGTCTTTGTATAAATTCAGAGGAAATAACATAGATTTTACCTTCCGTTGCCTGTGTACAATAGAAAAGATGTGAGACTCTCTCCCTAAACCGTTTGTATTACAAAATATTGAACTGTATACAGTATATACTGAAATTAATCTCCCTGTTTTGGGTATCATGAAGGTGAATGTGAGAAATATTATTGTAGGGCATTTAAATGGTAAACCACGTCAGCAGGTACCTCCTGCAAACAAGATACCCGCCACATTCCTGTCGAGGCCTGTACAAGTCTTCTACCTGTAAGCTGCTTACGTAATGCCATATAAACAGAAGGTATTGACGAAATGTGTGGTAGAAATCCTACAGGATTAAGATTATGTCAACACAGGAATTGGCCAGAGAGATTTCTATACATAAGATCCCTTTAGGTGTAAACGGTTTAACAGGAATGCGATCAAAGAACTTTTTAATTTATAGAATTATACTTAATGCATTATGCTGATGATTCAGAGATATAAATAAGAAGACAGGGTAGTGACAGGTATACTTTACTCCTGTAAGGCTTGGGTAGCTGTGCCAGAAAATCATAGATATATATGTATATCAGATAGGTCCACTTAGTCATGTTAACGGTAGGTTTAACCACTGACTTAAAGGTAGTTGGTTGAACATACAGGAATTGATTTTCTCAGGTTCTTTATTATATATTTTACCTTAACTATTCCAATGCACTGATATTTTATATATTTAATATAGATGTACATGGAATTAATTGTTGTTTTCTATCAACTTGCGATTTGGTCCTGGTTTTACATTTAAGGGAGCTAGTAGAGTTGATTTGATAGGAAATATATTTTAAAAAAATGTTAAGTTTCAACAGACTTTTTCCAGAAGTTTGACTGTACCCAGTTGGATAATTTGATTATTTAAATTCTAGATCAGACAGAATTGAGCAGCCTGCAGTAGATTGAATTACCTGGATTAGCCAGGTGTGTGAAGCTTATTAGCTTAATGGCATGTAACAGCAAATATTTAATTTAACTTTTCAAAAGTATCTTATGAAACGATGAGTATTTTTATTTGATTTATTCAGTGGTGATCCTATATATTGACAATGTACTTGTTCTGTTAAAACCTTCAATCATAAACAAAGTAGGATGAAGAACTTTGTCAGTATATGTGATGGATTGAGTAAAGCTTGATACATGAAGGCTGTGATAGCGGTCAATACCTGTATGGACTTCCTGTATAGGTAAACATGTACATACGTGAACATACCCCCAGCGGTGAGAGTCCCACCCTACTAGGATACATTACCCCCAACAGGACATGATCCTAATATATAGAAGGAACCCTAACTAATTAGGTGAATGCGTGACGTAGACTTGGCCCTGTTAGTGAATCATTTAGTACATGTACTTCAATTGTGTAGTGTTCAAAGTCACGAAAGTACTGGTTAACAGCCTCTCATTGTGTTGTCAGCCTCTATCATATATCGCACAGGAATTATGAATGAAAGTCATGTTATACTGTAGTAGCTGTGGCGTGTCACACAGTGTGACTTGATCCAGGGTACAGGACACACCTTCCAAAGAAAAAAGTCTGTGAACCTGCTAGCTTTGTTTTGCACTAAACCAAAAAATAAAAAATGAACAACTGTCTTAATTAAAATATGACTAATTTAGCTACTGTCCATCCTGTTTATTTTGGTTGCTCTCTCTCTCTCTCCACAGATTGTTTCTTGAGATTTAAGGGTAATCTGATAACATATGGTACATGTAGACTGTTGTCTGTCTGTCCACTAGTGTTACAAATCAACCATAGATCTGACATTTAAAATGGGCAAGTTCTTCCATCACCTTTTGTTATTTAATCCACCATTCAGGTAGATTGAAATGATGTTAAATAGTGAAGCTTTGTTAAATATATCATTATTACTCTTAAAAACTGAAAAAGAAAAGGAGGACTTATGAAATAACAATGTGTTTGCGTTCCTTCCACAAAAATAACCTTTCACTGTGTAGGTAGTGTGACTCCCTAGTTAGCGAATCAGAGATGGTTACCTGTGGTAGGTTGTATGTGATAACCAAGTTATGACATCACAGAGATGGTTACCTGTGGTAGGTTGTATGTGATAACCAAGTTATGACATCACAGAGATGGTTACCTGTGCTAGGTTGACATATCAAAGCAGTGATAACGTGTGCTAGGTTGACATATCAAAGCAGTGATAACATGTGCTAGGTTAACATATCAAAGCAGTGATAACGTGTGCTAGGTTGACATATCAAAGCAGTGATATCATGTGCTAGGTTGACATATCAAAGCATTGGTTACCTGTGCTAGGTTGACATATCAAAGCAGTGATAACATGTGCTAGGTTGACATATCAAAGCATTGGTTACCTATGCCATGTTGACATATCAAAGCAGTGGTTACCTTTGCTAGGATATATTGTCTAGTATTTTAAAGTTGATCATTTAACATAATCATACTTTTCATGAATAGAGTATCAATGAAAAATAACCTTGGATTAGGTATCGTGTATGTGATTTCATAGTGGATACAGCACCTTAACAACTATGTATTGAGTTGATGACATGATTGTGAATGGACAAATATGGCACCGATCAACTTCCTGTTTATCAAGGGGTGGATCAGGGATGGACTTTTTTGATAACTCGCTGCTGGTGCTTAGCTTCCAAGCTATGACAGTGTATGAACAAGATCACAAACTAATTATGTCTGATACTGATGATAAAAATACTGTTCTTTCCTTCTGATATTTATGCGGGTAGTAAAAACACTGCCACATCAGCGTAAAACAAATCAATAGCTGACCCTTTGGCCCAGGGTCATATGAGGTGAGTGTCTGTGAAAGATGGTAGACACCTGTAAGGATATAGCAGGGAGTAATTATATTTCAGTGTAGGCTTATTGGTGACAAGTATTACTCTTCACCTGTATATGATTCAGCAGTGTACTGTATAATCATGTATTTCTGAACTCTACCGCAATATCATCTTGTTTTATTGTACAAATAGAGCTGAATAGGAGTCAACATCCTCCAGAATAGTTATAAGAGATGCTGTTCTCACATCTTGAAATATTCTAAGAGAAAGGTTTATCTTCATCTCTGTTAATTAGCGGACTTGTGTGAGGTGAAGTCTGTTATTTAAAAGGAGAAACAGGTAGCTCAGCCTATCTCCAAACACCCTATCTCCAAACAGCCTATCTCCAAACACCAAGTGTTGTTGATTTGCTGTATATATTGCTTTATCTGTCTTGGAATACACACATTAAGTAAAGTCAACCTTGTCAAAACATAAATGATTTACTGGATTATGTATAAATGATACAAATCATTCACAGTATTTTGTAACCTTATCAGGCTATCTGTTAATAGTTCAGTAATTTGTGCAAACTAATTAAAAATGTAGAAGAATGTGGTCACATTGAATGGTGCATATACAGTAGGGGGGCACACATTTGTCCTATCCGGGTGTCGGGTTTCACCATTGTAAGCAGTAGGAAGCTTGGTAGGGATCTCTCACCTGGTGTAAGGTAATGCTCATAGAAAAAAAGCCATTCAAATTAGTAGCACATAAAACATAACGTTATCTTTGGCCTGTTTTGCAACGTCCAACAATTGGAAAATTCATTAGTGTGTTAATTGGAAAAAATAGGTGTCTTTGGAAAGCTCACTCAGGTGTTATGTGACATATAAAAGCTCCATTTGTGGAAACTCACCTATATGTTGTGTGACACCATGTATTTGGAAAGCACATTGTGTGTTTTGTGACACCATGACTGTTGAAATCTCACTAGTGTGTTGTTTTCACCATATGGAAAGCTCACTATTGTGTTGTTTTCACCATATGGAAAGCTCACTAGTGTGTTGTTTTCACCATATGGAAAGCTCACTAGTGTGTTGTTTTCACCATATGGAAAGCTCACTAGTGTGTTGTTTTCACC